TCAAGTCTAAAGTCATAAAATTAATGACTCGAGTCTGACTCGAGTCCAAGTCATGTGACTCGAGTCCACACCTCTGTTGTATACATGGGTGCAACGTGCCATGGTGATGGGAGCTTTTAATGGCTGCCTGCACTCTGACAGCAATAGCAGACAGCTGGTCTTGGAACATGACCCCGGCTTCGCATTGAGCTGTTAGGCCATGCGTACGCTGCCTAACGAGCCATGAGTGATCGCTATGATCTCACCACAAATAATTCATGAGGAGCCCTGTAGAGGAGCTATGGACCTAAAAGGGAAAGGAGGGGAGAGGAAAACGCATCAGGGACTCGAGGAGTACCCCAGCGTAAGTGGAGAGAGGGTCAGGAAGGGAAGGGGACGAGGAGAGAGGGGCAGAGATAGATCCGTCTGACAAATGTGCCTGGAAAAAGAAAGGAAATCCCCCCCTATTACCTACCGTGCTGACAAGTATGTGTGCGCAATCATGTATCCATCTTTGTGTGTATGCGCACGCTTTTTTCTCAGAAGACGTTTGTGTGTTACTACATCTGAAAAGGCACAGTGGGAGTGTTAACAGTATGCATCACAATCGCAGGATGTGTGTGAGATTGTAGGAAGGGAACGTGCTATGTGTTTGTGTGTGTGTGTGTGTGTTGGATACATGATGAAGTGAGCTTGGATTTTTCTGACAGCCCTGAAACCCAAAGTGTTTAACTCTACAAGTTTTTTTGCTGAATCCGAGGCAGTATGAGTTTATTCTGAGAAACGAAAACAGCAGACGAGAGTAAATGACAGATGTGGTTTAGTTTTGTGTCCTTAGACGTGCTGAAGCAGTCTAAAAATAAATTAAGGGCTAAAATATTGTCATTTAGTTTCTTTTTAGTTCCTGTCCCATTATTGTAGTTTTTCTTCCATTTCTTTGTTTCCTACACATCCTGTCTGTGGCTTTTTATAGGTCCAATCTTTAATTTTTATTGTCACTTAGTTTAGTTAGATAATCACTTTCTTTTAACATTTTTGCTTCCAATTTTGCTTTGTTTTCTCACCCCTGTGAGTGTCTGCTCTAAGTGATTATTTCTACCTGTACTTTGTCACCTGTCAACTGTTGTCCTTGGGCATTAAAATGTGTCATACTTTTTTTTTTTTAACCTTTTCATTAAATATTTTCTTTGACATGTTTTGTTTTGTTGACCCAGATTTTCCTCAGTTTTGGTCATTTTTCAAAAACTGAAGCTCAACTAGCATGCGTAATTAAGCTGTTTCTCAGGGACTGGAGTTTTGACCTCCATTTTTAGCCAGGAACTTACCCAAGCTCTCACAGTGCAAGATGTGGGGTACACAGTGGACGGTTGGCAGTCCATTGCAGGGCTAAAACAGAGAGACAGACAAGCACTCAAACATATTGTCCATTTAGAATCGCTAGTTAACATAATATGCATGTCTTTGGACTGTAGGAGGAAGCCAGGTCACCTGGAGAGAACCCACGCAGACAAGTAAACCCAACACAGGGAGGCTCCAGCGGAGTCTTGCTGATAGTGTTAATCACTGCACCACTGTGGTGCCACAATATGTCTCACAGAAAAAAGGAAAACCACAACCTTAATGACTAGTGCCACTAGTATTAAAGTGCCAATGCTAAATTGTGATGGTGACCCTGTTTAGCATCAGTCTGCTAGCATTATTTCACTCATGTTAGCATGCTGGCAGTAGCATTTAGCTAAAACACTGCTGTGGCTAACCACAGCTGCTCATTTCTAGATTTTTTTAAGTGCACAAGCTATGAAGGCCATGAAGATTACTGTTTCTGATGGTGGCACTACAAACTAGTGAGACGTATCTATGGAACACAGGCTAATGGAAACTGGGGGATGGAGACAAAGGGCCTGTGTAGGTCTCTGTGGCATGTCATTAGTGAGGGAGTGGGGTTGACTTGTTCCATCTGACATTTACCAGTCTCACAGAAAATGTCACGGAATGCCAGCCTTTACCTCTGAATATAATGGTGCCTCTTGCAGCCCAGAGCTATTGATGCCAAAAAACTTGCCCATTTTGCCCCTCTGTTGTTCCTCTTATCCACTGTCCTGAGAAAAACCTTCATCCCTGTGCTCCTAATTTCCTTGCCAAGCCAGATCTAGCTCTGCTTTACTCCATTACTCCATGCAATCCCACTGCATGGAAGGGCTTTATATAACAACTTTAAGAACAGAACAGATCTATTACAGTAAGTTCAAAAACTTTATACTGTATGCGTATTTCATGGTTATGTATGTTTTATGCCATTTTTATTCTATTTATCAACCACATTTTCAATTCTGCTAATGACAGTATGAGCTACCTATAGAAACCTACTGTTGAACCATGAACATGTACCTCATTATACAGCTAGTGTCTAAAGTCTGCAGATTAAGATTTTCTGTCCTGCGCTGTCAGTTATGTTTTAGCCAAAGTGAAAATGCATCATTAATATATCATTAAAAGTTTTGTTTATTGGGGTATAAATTACAAAATATGATTAAATATTCCTAATATTTTCATTTTTAAAAGACCAAAAATAGCAGAAAAAGCAGACATTTTTAATGTTTCTCATACATTTCTCATACACTGGTTTTAATATGCATAATATGCATACTGAACTCCTCCTTATCTCCTCTTTGCAGATTAAATAGTGTAGCATTATTAGCTGTCTAATGTCATGTACATATGTCAGATTTATAAAGTGGAATAAGGTAATATAACAAAGTACTGGCCATACAATTGCAGCACAATTTGGGATGGCCTACAGTAAGACAGTGATTATGCTGTGTTAAAACAGCAAGACCTGAAAAAAAATGGAAACTGTGTCATGTAGTGAAAGAGCGAGTCAAGACGTCCACTAAGAAGTCAGGTTTTACTAAAGGAATGTTAAAATATTGCTACATTGCTACATTTGATGGGCCAAAGACCCCTATCCTGAGATATAAAGTTGTGTATCTACACCCTCATTTTGCTACACAGATCCTTATGCTGGAGGATAATCATATTGTCATTTCGGGGAAACAAAGCATATATAGAGGTCATCAATTATAGCTTGAGCACAAGTAATTATGTACCATATGTATATTAAGTGTTCTCACATTTAACTGAAAGTCTTGTCTCTTAATTGGAGTTTTATGGTAAGGAGGAATCTCCTTCAAAACAGTGACCAAAATCAGTCAGACTCTATTTGACAAACGCATTCTTTACAGTGCACTGTTCTCAGCCGCATTTCAAATTAAACAGCAATCTCTTACCCAGTACCCAAATGCAAAAGCTAATTATGCTGAAAACCACTCATAAGCATTTTCTGGTTGTGTTTGTTACGCTGCAGTGAATTTGGGTCTCACTTTTAGGAGCTGCATTTAGATCCTTTGGTTCTCTGTTTGTTTGGGGGAGTGCTACTGTCTAGTCTATTTCTGTCCTTGCTACACTATTGTCCTCGGTTGACTGCCTTCACATCAAGTGCTGGATTTATCTGGCCACTCTGCCAGCTCAGGCAGATAGACCCTGCAGCTACCACCCAATATGCAATAGAGGAGGTGACTGTTAAGATAACTATAAACCACTATAACTGTCAAAGTCATTTATGATAACAGTTTTTTCTAGAAAGAAGAAACAGCCCTGCTTTGATTTTGTTGTTTTACATTTTTTTTGTTCTGTTGGGTGGATTGATATTTCCACAGAGGATTTTTAAGCATGTTGTGAGACGTTCCTGACCACAGTAGGGATGTCAGTGAGCTCATACAAGGCTGAACTTGGAAAACTTTCTGAAATCTCATTATAATTTGAACGTGGCATGGTATGATTGCACCAGAAGTGAGATTCAGTTACCTTCCACATCTCAGCTGCATTACCTAATTCTCCGGCTTCATCAGAGTCACTTCACTATTATGAAACCCCTTCAGTCATGAAAGTAGCCACTGCACCAGCTGACAATATGAGTCATGTGCAGACATAGAATTATTATTATTATTGCCTTGCTTACTATCCTGTCCTACTTTCATAACAAGTTCGATCACCGCACCATTGAAGGCCAGAGAGATGATCATGCGTTTTCAATGCGATCATACTAGTGGTGTGTTTTTCTGCTTTAGACAGGGCTCCGTCTATGCTACAAATCATTCTTTTTGTTTGATTATTTGTTTTATCACAATTTTATCACTGAAAATTCACAAGGTTTTGCAAGATCCATTAAATATTTGAACCATTAAAGTCTACTTAATCTGTTAGCAATCTGAAAATCGAATTTTCCACATTAAGAGCTGATTATGTGATTACACAGTTGGATATACAGCATAGTCACCCAAAAATGTATTTAGATGCACCTGTGATTCTATTTTTTGCTGTAATTGTCAAAAAGTGATAATGTTACTTTGTTTATTATTAGATCACAGCGAGCGGTTCTTACCTGCATTATCTTTAAATGTGTTTGTGATATTGGGTCCACCCCATTAACATATTCTCTGTGTAATATAAATATAAACCCAATATGACCTCAATAATAAAAAACAAACTATCATATCTACAAAAACTGAAATTGAAGGAACTTCATAAAGTTGTATTAATGTTGTATTGGATTGTGGTGTATTAGATTTAACAGTTGTGCCTAATAAAATAAGCAATGAATTTCTTAGACTGTTAGGATAGGTTACCATGGTTATTTTCCTTCTTTTTTTCTGTTTTATCAGTTTTAACTCTACAGCGCACTGCTCTGAGAAAGACTAGCAAAAGTTAGCTTGAGGCACAGAACTCATCAATATATTGCTGGTAAAGCATGTAGATATGTTTCCCTTTTTTAGTGCTGCTAAGAATGCCCTCTAGTGTTGACAAAAAAAGTGATTTCATACTTACATTTTTGCCTGTTTTGCATAAATAATGTAAAGTATTTATTATTGTGTAAACCGTAAAAGACTTGAACGCTGGAACTGTCTAATTCTTCACCTCCTCCACCTCTCTCTCTGTCTCTCTCTCTCTCTCTCTCTCTGCAGATACATCCGCACGATGTACCTCGGCATTCAAAGCCACCGGCAGAAGGAGAACCAGCGGCGTTTTTACTGGGCTATGATGTACGAGTATGCCGATGTCAACATGTTGCGGCTGCTGGAGACTTTCTTAGAAAGCGCCCCTCAGCTGGTGCTGCAGCTCTGCATCATGATCCAGAGCAACAAGACTGAGTGGCTGCAGTGTAAGGGCTTCTCTAAGGCTGTGCATGAGGAACATTTGATTCTGATATTTTGCTGACAGTTCAAGACATTTTCTTTTTTTGTGTGTAATGCATCAAACACGTACCGAGGTCGTCACATGCCTCCATAATCTCCAAGCAACAGTCCATTTTTTGTGGAGTTCACATATCAGCTTATTTAGTGTTACCAGCAGTCTTCACCACTTGTATCAGGTTTCCAACACTCACCACTCTTGTTACTGAAACCTCTTTTGCAATTCTAGTTTTCTCTTGGAATACAGTTCCCCAAGGAAGGCAATTCAATCATAACAAGTGATACCCTTCTCCGCTGGGGTGTCTTTAGAAACGCCATCAATACATTTGCAGAGAGGCAGTATGTTTCTGCTCTGCAGATAATACTCTATCATTTTTCATGCAGCAGGTTACTGCTCCGACATATCTGCTGTCTGTACAATTATATGTCTTAAGGAAACTGAATTGGTGCACTAAACGGAGACTGTGTTGACTGGATGACGTGGGATCATCCTGGTAATAATATGCCTTTGAAAAAATGTGATGGATTGCTTTGGATGTAATAAAACATACTGTTTGCTAGGAACAGCAGCAAGTCCAGGATAAAACCATAAATCTTCAGGTTATGATTCATGCTTAAAGATGAAACTGGAAACTTCTCTCGGATGTTTTTAGAACCATCTGTCGGTAGGTGTCAGTATCTTTTTAATTCTTAGCTTTCCTCTGCTTTTGTTTCCTCTCTCCTTTCATTTTCTCTAGGTCTTTCTGCCGTGTCCTCCCTCCTGTCCCTGGCATGGGTGCTAGCCTCTTACCACAAGCTTCTGCGTGATTCACGTGACGACAAGAAGAGCATGAGTTACAGAGGTGCCCTGGTGCATCTGTTCTGGCGCCTTTTTACCATCTCTTCACGGGTGCTCTCCTTTGCCCTCTTTGCCTCTGTTTTCCACATCTACTTTGGCATTTTTGTGGTGCTCCATTGGTGTGCCATGGCTTTCTGGGTCATCCATGGCGGCACTGATTTCTGCATGTCCAAGTGGGAGGAGGTACTGTTCAACATGGTGGTGGCCGTGGTCTATGTCTTCTGTTGGTTCAATGTACGAGAGGGCCGGACACGGTACAGAATGGTGGCCTATTACACAGTAGTACTGTTAGAAAATGCCATCCTCAGCTCCCTTTGGTATGCGTATCGCGACCCAGCCACCACTGACGCCTATGCCTCTTTTGCCCTCTGCGGCGTCTTCCTGTGCTTTGCCTCAGGTGTGGCCTGTATGGTTCTCTACTACGGGGTCCTACACCCCATGGGCCCCCGACTGAGGGTGCTGGCCAGCTCCTGCTGTGCTGAGCTGTTGTGGGGCCTTCCGTTACCCCCTGAAGCTGAGCCAATGGCTCCCACACCAGGGCCCCGTGGCTCCCAGGCCACTCCAACACGGGGTCTGGCAGGGGAACATGTGGACTCAGACGAAACAGCCACAGACACCTGCCTTCCAGTTTTCCAGGTGAGGTCCACAGAGCCTGTGGATGCAGCTGGTAGGCCCATCCGACCTGAGGGTCCACTCATCAAGATAGACATGCCCAGAAAACGTTACCCAGCCTGGGATGCGCACTTTGTGGATCGGCGCCTGCGCAGGACCATAAATGTGCTTCAGTATGTCAGCCCTAATGCGGTGGGCATCAGGTACAGGGACGGTCCACTTCTTTATGAACTCCTGCAGTATGAATCCTCCCTCTGAAGGCTTCTCCCACAGCTCTGTCATCCCCTCATCCACAATATGATAAACATGCTCTTATTTTCTTTCACTTCTCCCCTTTCCTTCTCTCCAGATATGATCTCTTTCCATCCCGCATTTCGACTCTTTCCTTCTCTCATCTGTGGTCACTCAATTTCCTGCAGGAGATGTGTGTTTTGTCAACCGGAAATCTGTTAAGACAGTCTAAACACACAGTCATGATTTATTTTTGGAAATAAACATACAGTACAGAGAGAAAATTATGAACCTAAAATATGTTATGTGATATAAACAAATCCCTCTGCACTGATAGAGGGGGATTATGTATGAGAGTGTAGATAACATATGAATGTTTCATTATGAAATGTGTTTAATGCATTATACTGTATTGGTGATTGAACCTGTGAATACTTGTGAAGGGCATACTGTATGTCCCCGGGACTTGCGCAAAGCCTGCTGGGAATGATGGAGGAGAGGGGGCAGGTCTTTGCATATGCCCACATTTACCACCATTCTTTATGTAACTCATTGAACTATATGATAATGTTTACGAAGTCCTCAGCCTAAAATTCCTTTAATGATTCTGTAAATTCTAACAATGCACACAATCACAAATTTTTCCAAAAGACACAGTTCTGAATATATCTCCCTTCGGCAAGCTTATATGGCACAAGAGCGTCCCAGCTATGCCACTTTTGTTACAAATTTCAAATCAAAACTACAGCCTGCGTGGAAGAAAAAAAAAAAGCACACTGACCTTCAATCAGTTTTACCCACACAATCCATTTTTATAGTACAGACTGCCCTCCAGTGGAGGCAAGCTCCAACAGCATGCCTTAACTTATAATTGTATTTTTTTCCCCATATGGTTGTGACAGCACTTGAGATAACAAAACACAATGAAGGGACTGTAGTAGAAATGAGCACAACGTTTTCTAAATTTGTGAGGAAGTAGAAAATCATATGAAAAACATTCCAAACACAAAAAAGATTAGAGGTGTTTAACAAAGACTGAAGGAGCAAAGTGCAGAGACAGCCTTCAAGGAATCCTCCACCATTCCCTTTTGAATCCTTTTTCAACCTCCCTATGTTGTTTTTATATTTAAAAAAAATGGTTTAGGTAATACACACTTATTGGCTGCAAAGCCCTGTAATAGGTTATTGGGGGGAAAAAAGAGGTCTGAGAAGATATTTCTGTGCTATTATACTTCAGTGCATATTTGTGTCCACATTGATAGTTACTGACATAGCTTTATATTTTGCCACACACACTTTTTTAACATCGCCATGTTTAAAGGTATATTCTCCTCAACATCAGTGTGCCCTAAAAGAGATGATGCTCTTATATGGGTGTACAGGGCAACTGTGCTGACACCTGCTATATCGCAGTTGAAACAAAGCCAAATCGTATCTTACAGTACTGTCTTTCCAATTTATTCTGCCCTCCCCCCTTGAACCAGTTGAATGAGTCTGTGCGAAACGTGTGCCATCTAAAGGCCTGCTGTACAGCAATTATACACTTAAATACATCTCCTGCTGAATCTGCAGGAGCTCTCCAAAAACGATACCCAAGGGAAGACACTGAATTCACTCGAAGAAGTGAACGCAGTGATCCTTCGAAGTCAAAGGAGCTCGACTAACATTTCTAGAGAGGGCTACAATTCATGAGAAAAAAAAAAAGAATGCTTTTCATACTTCAATTGTATCTATTTACTCGATGACTCATCTGAATACGTATATAATGTGTGTTTTTTACATTGTAGTGTTTGGCATGACTTTAGTATGAGGCATTAGTACAAATGCACCCAACAAGGGATGCCCAAGAGCTCTACGCAACACAGAGATTCCTTTTCCCCCTGGCTCACTGGCTTTCTGCTTTGCTGTGGCCTCACGTGCCTGCTAACATCGTACTGTAAAAGGCAGACACCATGTGACTCAGGGCTAAAGGTGAAAGAGGGTTTTTGCCAGGGTTGGAAAAGAACACGAGGGCAGATCGTGGCAAAGGGCCTGATGATTCCTTGAATGATCGTGTGAAAAGGTGAATGTTTGGCCCGGCGTGTGCTGAAGTGTTATCAAGTATGCTTGAACGGTTCTGGGTGCATGTGTGTGTCCTCAGCCCTTTCCCACGATTCTGTTCTCCTGCCGATTGTTCGGCTCCATCCTCGGTTGCTGCTTCGCCCTCTTCCCCGTCTCTGCGGTGCTGGGCCTTGGTGCGCTCCCGTGAAAACACTCTCACACTCTCTGGTAACTGAACAGCATAGTTGAGGCTGAAACAAACTGAGATCCTGACATGAGAACATGCAATGAGGTACACTGCCATGACCAAGAGCTTCAACATCCAGGGTCTGCTACCCTTCAGCGTAAAAGCGATGTTCAGCCCTGAGTAATTGAGAGCTGTTGGGTCAGCTAGGCTGGAGCAAACATCCGACACACCATATGTATAGATATACATGTGTATGCAAATAACCAACTTGTTCACTGTTTACCACAGTAGCCAGAGTATAGTTCCTCTATGTTGTAGTGAATGAACAGCCATGTTAATAGTTCATTAATAAGTAAATAATGAATAATAAGTATTGTTAAACTAAAAAAAATCTAAAAAACAATTAAAAAAAACACTTAAAACAGCCAATACAGGGGTTCCTCAGGACCAAAAAAACAAGACCACTGAACCAGCTGACTCAGGGGTGTCTCAATGCAGTTCTCATCTCCAGGCATGTCCTCAAGGGTCTCCATTTTTTTTCCTTAACATACTGCATCCTAGACGACTCCTCGGCTGGGACTGTACCACTAAATTATGGTTTGCACATTTTTATTTATTCATTTCCTTCGTGGGAATGATTATTCATTGTGATTAACGGGCGTAGGGGCAGTTTTTTGTGGTAGTTGGCTGCCTGGCATATAGTGCATCCTTTCTAAACACTGCTGACCTTTTCCAGAAGTGGACACATGTCCAAATCAGGTGCAAATACACTGTGACTCATTCATTTTTGTGTGCATGTGTGGTTGTGTGTGGAATGACAGTATTGTATAGATTCAAAAACAAGATTATGTACAACTGGGCTGCATTTCATTTAGTGGTGCTTGACACGTGACGCAGAATATTTACGCCTGCGTAACCGTGTCATTAAAATAAGCATAATAATGGCTAGGGATGCACTGATCGTTAATGCCGATACCAATGTTTTCCATGTTGTTGTTATTTATTATCACTTTTACGCCAGAGAGTCAAAGATATCTATACTTACAATTTATTTTCACTTAGTCATCACAGAACAGGTGAATATTGACCACTCCAACTGGTAAAGATAATTCTTTTTGCAGATATGCCGATATTAGTTGCTACTGATACCAGTGTTCATTACGTTGGTGCATCCCTAGTAATGACAGTTAAAGTAATTACAAAGAGTCTATATGTACAATTCTGGATTTTTATAGAACATGCAGTATATTTTAAATATTTCTACAGAGCAATCACCACTTTCTCGCAATCTGTAACTAGTAACAATGATTAGCTAGAAGCCAGATAATAAGCGGATTTTACGTTTTATGTATTTTTCTTGTGTTCTTTAAATTATACACGGGTTTCAAGAGCTAAGCTACACACAGGTTTAAGCGGGAGTAGGAAGTATACTATTTCGTGTAGCATTCAGGCTGCCACACTTTATACCATAAACAAGGTCACAGAGAAATCCCTCGCACAGGACAGTTTCTGTTAGGTTACCTTCCAAACACCACATCGTCCGAGAGCCACAAAACACAGCAAGAGGATTTGAACAGCAAAGCTTGCTCTTCTCAGTCCTTGTTGTGCCTTGTTACTTTGGGTGCTTCGAACCAGCCATGGCAGCCAGGTCCGCAAACAAATGCCAATGTCTTTCTTTACTTGTTTCATGTGCCAGCACACCCACCAAGATGATAACACCAAACAATATTCTTCCTGTCTGTGACCCCTTTCCCACCCTAAACCAGATCAAGCCAGGTTCTCAATTCTGTGAGCTAACACCTCCGTTGACAGTGCTATTTAGTCTTACAGTTTCATCTAAGATGTCATCTCGAGGACTGCGCTGTTTCCTCATTATGGTGTTACATCTGGACTTTACTGTGTGACAGAATCAAGTGATGGGTATTGTGTGAAACCCAGTAATTGGTTATGTCAAAGACATAGGAGAAAAAGTACGGCAATACTGAACATCTTCTGTACTTGAACCCAGGGTTCCTCATCTTTTCGAGTATGACGCCAACCCCAGCTGATTCGGCGAGTAACAATATAACAGTTAATAGTCCGTTTAAAAGCGTTAGTTCTGAAGTGTTTGATGGAGAGTCACGGTCGCAGATAACCAGCCAAGTTACTGAAAGATTTGGCCAATGATTGTTTTTGTACTTTCGTCTATGCCTTTACATCTTCTTCTGTCTTGCAGTTATGAATGATTTGTAGTGCTAAGGCGTAAACTTTCTGTGTCGTTTTCTGTGTCTTGTGTGAACAATACGTCCTCTAGCCAAAACAAAAATGCCTGCGTTTAGAATACAACATGGAAGAAACTGACGACAAAAAGCGCAAAAAATCAGTTGTTACGTCTTCTTACTGTGGAATGATCACGAAACAGGCCCAATCACTGCTTCTCTTTTGAATAACCTCATTTTCTGGATTTTCTACCACCTCCCAGCATGCCTTTATGACTCATCGTGAGGTGACCCTCAGCATTTAGCATGCAAGTGCTCTCGACTGCACAAGAAACCCTCTGATTTTTGCATTAATGTGTAGCAACAGGCCATTGTAGTGTTTGACCTGGTTCGAGTCTATACCTTTGTGTCATGACCATCCGTTTGACCACAGGGGCAGAATGTTCAGATGTTAAAAAACGGTGCATTTTTGTTTTGTTTTGTTTTGTTTTTTTTAACTTTTATTCCTTCTTTACGTTTTTGTTCATAACCTGGTGCTGAATAAATACATTTAAAAAGGTGCTACCGCTGTGGACTAAGAGTCCACTCTTTGGCTTTAGCCTTCCAGTTGACTGAGAGATCCTGCATACCACAAACGTGCAGTCTCAAAATGCTCTACAGCCAGCACCTCAAATCCACACAGTTTACAGCAGAACTCAGCTCTCAGTGGTGCCATTTTGATTTCCCAGTCTGCACAAAAAAAAACAAAAAAACCCAATAGTTACTCTACTGCTCATATAAGATTTATTCTACTGGGTTCCGCATACGGTACGTTTTTGTTTTACTATAATTCAGTCTGCACTAGGATTTTTTCTTTTCGGACAGAATGAAAATGGCAGATGACAAAATGCATCTTTTTAGCAAATACACAGGAGCACAAATGTACTTCTGCTAATGGAATTTGGGTAAAATATATATATATATAGAACGTGATTGCTGTGTTGTAAATTCCTGTCATCTATATGTCCTTAATCTGTGTGTATCTAATTTTGTTGTTATTGTAGAATTGGCTGTAATATTTTGTTTGAAAATGGATTTGATATTCCAACGAAGCGACTATGGTTGTCATATTAATTGCTGCTGATTTTTTGGAATCGTTATCAAAGGTGTTGGGAAATATTGCTTTGTTTATATTCAATCAATTTATAGGTTGTGTTAGCTTGTTGGTGTATTTCACAAATCTATCAGGATACTCCGTAGGCTATATGGTATATCCGGGGTATTCCAAAAGTTGGCACAATGTTAGTACTCAAAAATTGCTACAAATGTAGCATGTTTATGAAAGTGGACCCGTACGACCCATGTTGTGATTGAGTACATATAAGGAATGATTTCTTTGTTGTTGTTAAATATAAAATGTAAGTAAATTGTTTCATGGAATCCCCATTCTTTAAAAAAAAACAAAAGAAGCAAAACTGATGTCCAGTATTGTACCTACGCCCTATTTTTGGGAACAATATGAATATTATTAATAACATATGGTGCTAAAGTTTTTTTTGTATGTTTTGGTTTTTAGATGAAAAGAGAAATATTATGCTGAAAATGTAATGTTAAGCCTTACTGTAGATTCATATATCAGACTGTTCATCCCAGAAGAGAAAAATAAATATAGTATTTGAAAGTGCACTATATATCTGTAATGTCTTCACATGCATGTCTCACATTTTTGTCAGATGACTGTGACTGCAGTCGACTTTTTTACCAGCTGGGGTAAGAAGGGAAAAGCTGTTTCTGAATGTGACCCATATAGGTTGGGATTAGTAAGTAAAAGTAAGCACAACTGTATGTTCGAGAAATGCTTCACAATAGAAATGTACATCCTTTAGTTGAGCTTATTTAAACCCTGCACACACATGCACACACATACACATTGGCTCTCCAGAATACAAGACAAAATGCAATAGTTTTGCAGATCCACTGCAACTGAATTAAGTAAGTGTATTTTCATATTTGAACATAGACTGCTAAAGACAACTGGTAAAAAAAATAGAGAGAGGGAGCGGAAGTGGAATTTGTAAGTTAGCTCACTTATAAATGAGTGAACAGTCTCTAATTTTTAAGGAGATACACAAAATATCAACTAACACTCCAGAAAAAAAAAAAAAACACATTACAAAAAAGTTAAAAATTGATTTGTATGTTATTGAGTTAAATAAGTATTTGATCCCCAAGCAATTCAATTCCATTTTATTTATATTGTGCAAAATCACATCAACCTTGAGTTTCCCTTAAGGAGCTAAGCAAAACATGGCTTACTTGGTGGGGAAACCCTTTTTGGGAAGGATGGCGGTAAGACATTTCTTGTATAGCTGGTCACTCAGGGGGAATTCTGGCCCACTCCTCTTCACAGAAACTCTCTAAATCCTCTAGGTTTCTAAATAAATTCAGTAATTTTTAAATGTTTCATTTTAAAAACCCCAAAATCGATCAATATGTAAATATTAAACTACTGGAGTCAAGACGTTTCCTACATGAATGACAGCCCATTCACAGACACTTGCGTAAGTTGCCTGTAGCATGAAGTCATAGCTCATGC